CGCAGTCTGTTTGTTTCTTAACATCAGAGTCAATTTGTTTGTTAAGATCGCAGTCTGGTTAAGATCAGAGTCAATTTGTTTGTTAAGATCGCAGTCTGTTTGTTAAAAACAGACTCAATCTGCTAGTTAAGATATGGAGTAATGATGCTAAATGATGTCTAGAGTATTGTTATGATATTTTAAGAATCATTTTTGTGAATCAACAATTTTCTTTCAGTCATTGTTTTTGTCTAAACAGCAAAATTGTCCTTCAATTATTGTTTAGTCGAAAGAGAACAAAGTTGTTTTAGTTTTTTTTTCCAAAACAAGGAAGGGTGTATTGTTTAATTATTTATGTTTTTCTCCTAACCAGCATGGTGTTGTTAAAAAAATTTCAAGTGTTAAGATGTTGTTTAATTTGTGTTTGTTTTTCAAACAGCAGGGTATTCTCTAATTATTGTTGTTTTTTTGTCGAGACTATAGAGTGTTATTTAGTTATTGTTTGTTAGGTTTTGAAAAAGCAGGTTATTCTGTCATTACTGTTGTTGTTGTTTTTTTTACTGAGATTGCGCAATGTTATTTAATTATTGTTTGTTTGTTTCTCAAACAGCAAGGGTTGTTCTGCCATTATTATTTTTATTTTTACCGAGACTGCGCGGTGTTATTTAATTATTGTAGGACATTATAGTTTTAATTAATTCCTCCTGTCCAAACAGCTAGAAATACAAGAAGTGATTCCCATAAAACTAATTAGTATTTAATTAAAACGATACAAGCTTGATGCCGATTACTTAACAATCTGTAAGTTTAGCAAAATAAATTATATTATTTAATTTAAAAAATCATAAAGTGTCGCCTACCACTTTGCCAAAAAAAGCATAAGTAGAGATTTTGTAATATTTTCAGTTTTATATTATTTCTAATTATTTTCTACAGCGGACTGGAGAAGCATTATGTTGTCAGACTGTCCCATAAACGTTACGTGTAAAAATAATTGTGCGATTGAAGAAGATTTGAATGGATGCCCTAAATGCAACTGTGAAAACCTAGATGAAGCCACATGTAAGTTTCCATGTCCAATACAGCTGTGTATGTTTATTTTGTCTCGTCATCATAAACGCTAGGTGTAAAAATAATTGTACGATTGAAGAAGTTGTGAATGGATGTCCTAAATACTAGGTGGAGCCACATGTAAGTCTCCATGTCCAATACAGCTGTGTATGTTTATTTTGTCTCGTCACCATAAACGTTAGGTGTAAAAATAATTGTGCGATTGAAGAATATTTAAATGGATACCCTAAATGCAACTGTGATAACCTAGGTGGAGCCACATGTAAGTTTAAATGTCCAATACAGCCGTGTATATTTATTTTGTCTAGTCACGAACTAGGTGTCTTATTTTCACCTTGGTTCAGGATTTCTTCTAGAAATTCATACTTTCATAGGAAGTCTGGTATTAGTAATAAGATAAAAACAAACAGACAGTGTCGTAACCTACTGTACAAAAAATCATGATATCTTCTTACTTCTACAATTACAACTGTCATATGTCAGACCAGTTTCAGTAAATAGTATTATTTTATAACAATACAACTTTCATATATATCCCACCAGTTTCAGTAAAAAATATTGTTTTTAATAACAATATGCCAGACCAATTTCAGTGAATAATATTGTTTTTCATAACAGTACAATTCTCATATGCCAGACCATTTTTACTAATTCTAATAATATTGTTTTTCATAACAGTACAATTCTCATATGCCAGACCATTTTTACTAATTCTAATAATATTGTTTTTCATAACAGTACAATTCTCATATGCCAGACCATTTTTACTAATTCTAATAATACTAATTTTCTTAACTTATTCGTTACTTAGTAAAGTAAGTAAGATTATCACTAACTATAAAAGGCTTATTCCTTTGTCATTCTGTCGAGAACGCTTTCACGCTCCTTTTTTGGTAATGCTCAACAATGTGCATCGTTGCTTAACAACAAAACTATCACCTGATTGTTCTTAAGCCAACTATGGTGTTTAGGTTAAATGCTCAATATTCTTGTTGATTTGTTAGAAAGGTCTGTTTTTATTCTTTATTTTTTTATAACTTCGTTGATATAACAGCAAAATAGTTTAATTCGGAAGTTTTATGGCATTGAGTTGTATCCAAAAGCAAAATAAAATTTACCAAGTAGTGTTTCAGTTAAGCCTTACGTTACGTTTATGTATTAGGCCTAATGCTCAAATTAGACTACAAATAGGCCTACGATTACTAACGTTATAGAGTCAGTGTTTTAAAAAGTTTTAAGTGGTGAATAAATGTTAATAAATAAATATTATTTTGGTATTTTAACATATATATTATCTACTTGGCCTTAAAACATAAAGAAAAATAAACGTACTTTTATTCACGATTTCATTTTTCTGCGTAGTTTTTACTAAAAATGTGATGATTAAAGAATTACTTCGAGACTGATGAAATAAGTGAAGAGTAGGTGCATTGTGGAGGTACAAATTACTTTTAGTCAAAGTATATAATTTTCGTTAATCATTGTTGAATGATTTCCCACCATTTTTGACGGGCTTTTATACCAGCGTTATCATTATGATTTTTTAGAAACGCCTTCTAGTGGTCGTTTTCGGAAACGCAGCGCGATTTGAATAATAGCAATTAAAAAAATCATAAACACACAGATACTATGTGTTACTTTTAGTTGAAGCCGAATTGGCATTCTTAAGTTGAATAAAAGATGCTAGTGATAAACAAGATAATTTTTACACTTAGTCGGTTATTAAAAAAAGACCTGGGGGGTCAACAGAAAGTCTACGGACCTGTAACGCTAAAATTCGGGGTTGGATTCTCCGCGGCGATAAGATTACATATTGCCCATTTTTTAGCTTTTCACACTAAAACTGAAAGTAGCAACAACAACAACAACTTGATGAGCGCGTGAGTTTACCTTAGGTTCTTTAGAACATCCAGGAAGTAAGTCTTTTAATACTTGAAATAAATCAATAATTAATCTGGCTTTTTATTTCGTAACGCAGTGCTAAAATTGGGCTGGCGTTTTTACAAGCCAGATCTTTTTTCTACGGGAGTTAAATATCAAGGACCACCTTTTGCAAGCTCTCAAGATAATGAATTCATTATACTGTGATATATCTACGTTTTTTAATCCTTCATAGTTTCAAAGTGTTAATAATCTGACCAGTTTATTTACAAACAAAAGATCATTCTAGGATAATGTAATCTCCCTCTTTGGGTGCGTTTATAAAAACGTTTGGTGTTTTCAAATATAAAATCGATATGGTTTACCAACTTTCCAAAAAAAAACAGTAATTAAAAATATAATTATTACTTTCTAACAAAGAAAATAGTCTTAGAGCTATTACTGTTGCACGAGATGTTGAAACAAAAAATTAACCACTTTGTAATTAATTTATTTTCTTCTCCAAATTTCAGTGAAGAAAAGATACGTAGCGACTTGATCTGTTCTTTGGTTTGCTATTCCCACTGCAGCAGACTAGTTTCGCCGAATTCGCGGTTTGTAAGGGATAAACAAATTAAAGTATACCTCATATTGACTATACATCTAAACCAAACAAATTGCTTATATTAAACTACTGTATTAGACCTACTTTATTTATCTGCTTCGCTCTTCCCAGCAGCATTAATGTGCCGTGAGAGGGCAGTGAGAGTAGCGAATCAAACAATTGTTTGTTTGTTTTTAATTAAGCACAAAGCTACACAATGGGCTCTCTGTGCTCTGCCCACCACGGGTATCGAAACCTGGATTTTAGCGTTGTAAGTCCGCAGACAACTAAATAAATAGCCAGTTAGTCTGCTGAATAGTAACAGATAATTAGTTATTTAAACCCCTAAAGTACTTTTGGTTATTAATGTTTAATAAAGCAGGGTACATCTATATCAAATTAAACACTTGTTGTTTTATTGCAGTTGAGAGACAACACACAGGTAACTCTGCTTCAGGTCAGTTCAAGTAGTTTTGTTTTCTTTTATAAGTTTTCAAGGCAAAAAAGAAAAAGATTAAGACTCATGAAAATAAATTTCCGACTTTGATCATTGTAATCTGTAGAATAACTTGCATTAGTAAACTCAACATGATGGTTTATAAGTAAGCATTTTATTCTTTAATTTTCTTTTATGAATAAGCAAGTTTAATAGTTAAGCAAGTACATTCTTCCAGCTGTTTTCTAGAAGACCGGTGATAGTTTAATTATCAAATATTAATGGTATTTTCGTAATTTTATAGTTAGTTAGTTCATATCTTACAAAACAGTCCGTCTACAATATTTTATTTCGTTGGATATTATTTATTACTTTTAAGTATATTGTGATTTTTTGTAGGTGTCGCTAATGAGCTTCCGGTCGTCTTCTACTCATTTATTGTTTGTCTCATTTTTCTCTTCGGGTAAATCATATGGATAAATATATTGTTTTTTTATAGGTGTCGCTAATGAGCTTTCAGTCGTCTTCTGCTCATTTATTCTTTGTCTCATTTTTCTCTTCGGGTAAATCATATGGATAAATATATTGTTTTTTTGTTTTTATAGGTGTCGCTAATGAGCTTCCGGTCGTCTTCTGCTCATTTATTCTTTGTCTCATTCTTCTATTCGGGTAAATCACATGGAGATCTTTGTTCCTGCTTCATTATTCCAAGTCTGCGGAAACAACAAATAAAATATACTATTATTTAAAATTATATCAATAGCAATACTTAACTCCTGATTTAGACTATTAGGGTCAGAGCAGTAAGAAATCCACATTTCGGCCATTGTTGTTACTTAATATATTTAACAGCGTTATTTTTTATATTCTTTGTGATATCGGTTAAATTTTTCATTTCGTAAATAATTTATGACTTTGATATGTTCTGTAATTTCATTTTAAATGTAAAGGAAAAAGTTACTCGTGTCGTTCATTTCACATGCATATGTTTTTCATTTAACATTTAGTTTATTTTATGGTGAAATGTAGCCTTATTTCTTCATTTAATTCAAGAACTGTCCGATAGGTTATGTCAGAATGAAGAAATGTGGATGCGTTGTGTATTTAAAACGTTATTAAGGTTTCTTAAAAATAAAAATATGTCGATAAATCATTGAAGATTGTTTTATGGCGTAGAAAATTATAATTTGACTGTTTTAATGTAAACATCGTAATTTGTAATATATTTTGATGAATTTTATCTACGTTTTTTATGGCGTCTTCTTATGTTAGTTTTTTACCGCGATTAAACACCAGAGTGTTGTTATAATTATTGTTTCCTTGTCCAAACAAGACAAGGAAACAATAACTATAACCAAACTCTGGTGTTTGGACAAGGAAACAATAATTATACCCAAACTCTGGTGTTTCGACAAGGAAACAATAATTATAACAACACTCTATTGTTTGGACAAGGAAACAATAATTATAACAACACTCTGGTGTTTGGACAAGGAAACAATAACTATAACCAAACTCTGGTGTTTGGAAAAGGAAACAATAATTATACCCAAACTCTGGTGTTTGGATAAGGAAACAATAATTATAAAAACACTCTGGTGTTTGGACAAGGAAACAATAATTATAACAACACTCTGGTGGTTGGATAAGGAAACAATAATTATAACAACACTCTGGTGTTTGGACAAGGAAACAATAATTATAACAACACTCTGGTGTTTGGAAAAGGAAACAATAATTATACCCAAACTCTGGTGTTTGGAC